GCTTGAGGGTCTACTTGTCGGAGGGTCTACTTGTAGGAGGGTTCACCTAGAGGTCTGCTTGAGGGTCTACTTGTCGGAGGGTCTACTTGTAGGAGGGTTCACCTAGAGGTCTGCTTGAGGGTCTACTTGTAGGAGGGTCCACCTAGAGGTCTGCTAGAGGGTTTACTTGTAGGAGGGTCCACCTGGAGGGTCTACTTGTAGGAGGATCTACCTAGAGGGTCTAATTGTATGTTATCGTGCTATCTTCTTTTTAAAATACCTTATTTCGTGCATATAAATCAGCCACGTGAATTGCTTTTCATTTCTTTGATTGATAATTTACATCTGAGAGTCTCTCTCTCTATCTCTGTTGCTAGGTGCAGCCGCCAGTCATTACAAGCCATAGTGGGATGGTGATCGGCTCTTCAACTTGAGGAGTTGACGTACTATCCGCAGACGGTCACTACCTGTGCGCAAGTGAGTGCATATCCGCCTATAGAGTAGTCCTCCGCCGGTGTGCGGTTCTTTCCATGTCGACATATAATAAGCCGTACCATATACATATAATAAGCCATTACACATACATGCACATATTATGTGTCAGTACATGTACATGCACAAGCGCGAATATGATACGATAGTGTGGTGTGCTGTGCGAAGTCCTTTATGCACTACGCAAGCACTAGCATGACACGTGTGGCGTTGGATGCCTTGGCCACGTGACAGGCAGAGACGTTTGCGCACATTTAACGCAACGGGCTTTGCTCCCTGTTCGTGTACGTCTGTCTGGCAATGACACTGTCGTCTCAGGTGCAGCACAGCACACAGATCACAGATATCCTCGTTTGGTGAGGAATGGGTCTGTATTTTGTGCGGTGTGTGTGTGGGGGGTTGTGCGTGCTTGCAGCATACCTGTTCTCAAATCCCGAAGTTCACCTGCAGTGTTTCCGTTTGTGTGTGTGTATTTGTACGCCAATTTGCACAGCTTGGTGATAGGTATGATCTGCCGTTGACAGTGACGTATGGTGGTGCGTTGAGTACTTGCCGGCCGAAATTTTAGGTGCACGGGAGTGGTATATACCAAACACCTGATTATCCCTTCTGCAGCCAATGGATCCGTCGGCACAGGCGTATGTTTTAGGGGTTTAAGTAAATCCTAATACCTTAAACCACACCCCGCTAAGCCTACAGTCATGATAGAGCGAGACGTGGCACCCGGTTGGCGATGTGCCGTTGTCATAACTCCATAGGCATACCTGGTAGAAAAGTAGAAGAAAGAGGTACTGAGCTGACGATGTAACGATCAAGCGTCTCTCGCAGCTGATATATATATATATACATCCATGCACATTCATAAATATAAATAATACCAGTGATATAAGGTACCCCCTGCGAGGTATGGAGTGCGGACGCGGAAACCTAAACCTTAAAAGGGATGCACTACTGGGAGTGTGCACTTATACTGATAGATGAAGTAGAGACCTGTAAGATTCGCATAAACATAACTTAGAACCAAAACACAAGGAAACATGGTGTGAAGTCCACAAGGGTTCCCTTTTAGATAACACCGGACACTTGGTACACCCGCTTTGTACCTAAGCTCCAATGAAGGTAGCTCGGGTAATTGCTAAATATAGGCGCATAATGCACACCAAGTGATGGATATACTTCCGTGTATGTATTGGTATATTCATACTTACTACTTTGTATATCTGGACATGAACTCTAGCGCATACACACATAATATATATATATAAATGTATTATAATATAAACTAGATATGCCGCGGGAATAGTACGATGCCACACAACTCACTTTCACCGGCTAAAATTTTATACACATAACAGTCCCAGTGATTTTACGGAGCGAAGGTACACACACACACACATATATATGTATAAATAAAATATATAAAAGTGCACTGCAGTCGGCACATCCCAGAGTATAATTTAGGAGAGTGCAACAAATCGCTCCAGCTCCTTTCAAGCGTTTCATCAGGTACAAGGGTCTGTGTGTGTGTGTAGGTGTAGAGAGGGGGCTGTGTGCGTAGTCACATACCCGTCGGCACAGCCAGGGCATCGGGCCCATTGGTCAGGGCCATGACTGCTTGTGCCGTTGCCAGGTCAGTGTCTTGCGAGAGCTTGGCCGCCATAGCCGCGTGATGGAACTCCGCAGTCTGCGTGGTTGGGTGGGGGTGGGTGGATGGTCGGGTGCTGTTGTCGTTGCTGCTGGGGGGCCTGTGCGTGTCAGTCCCACTCGCCTGTGCATCTGCAGTAGCAGTAGCAGTGGGTGCGGCTGTGATTGCCCTAACCTTTTGTGGCGGTGGGAGGGGTGGTGAGGTTGCTATTGAGGTGATGGGCGGTGCTGCGGGTATGCTTTGGCCCGTGCGTTTGGCCTTGGCGGCACTCAGCTTCTTGGGCTGAGAGGGGGGTAGGGGAGGCTGGGGGGGTGGGTAGAACGCCCTGGGCTGGCCATACTGCTGGTAGTGGCTCATCATAGGGCCGTAGGGCTGTCCTGGGGGTATTTGTCCCGGTGCAAGGGCCATGACCCGGGCCCCGTGGGGTGGGGCTGGTGCTAGGGAGCCGTGGTTGATTGGTTTGAGGTCTATGGTCGTGCACCTGGGCCTTCTGCCCCGTTTTTTGGCGACTGGGGGAGCTTCCGGCTGTTGCAGGGTGGTGTAGAATGTGCAGAGTGTGGGGTAACTATGCTGGACGGAGTCTCTACTACTGACTTTATAGGGGTTAGGGTTTTCTTATATTATAAAACCCTTACACACATTTATCATGTATATGTATATAATACTGTAAACCCATAGACTTGTTATATGGATGGCAGTGTATAGCAAACGAACGGCAGTGTTGAATTCATACACACAGCAAATACAAATCCACACGACATGTCTTGGGTTCACATTCATGGGGGGGGGGGGGGGGTGGGGGTGCTAAATTTACATAACAAATATGCGAGCATATATATATATATATATATAATTACTTGATACAGTGCTTAATAATTGTGTGTGTTGTGTGTAATTGTACAAGGATACAAATTCACGGCAAACTAGGATGACACCCACGTCTAATTGTGAGGCTATATGCAGCTACAATACTTAAGACGCGCGGATTTTAACATCCATGCAGAACAACTCAAGCACGGGGTGTGAAACAACGAAGTACAGAGACACACTTATATTAAGGTGCAGCAGCCAATTGGAGACTGCCTAGACAGCCATCTACGAGCTTCATGGCTGATCTGTATGTCTAAATGCCTTATTCGCTGCATATTACGGTGGACGCTATGTATATATTCCACAGTCACCACCTCCTAACCCTAGAACACATATCACCATAATCGCACTACCAGCATTAATTAAAAACACACACACCGCAAGCACTACCTGCACAGATATGAACACACCAGCCCCCCCCCTCCCCCCAATACCACTGAACCTGGCACTGATCTATATAAAATAGTAAAACTTCCTTCATGGTTGACATTAGAAACCCTGCCTGGCACTGATCCATACACGACTAGTACCACATCCCTCATGGCTGGCATTTAACCCTAAAGACTAGTACCACATTCCTCATGACTGGCACTTAACCTTAAAAACCCTACCTGGCACTGATCTATACCCGACTAGTACTACATCCCTCATGACTGGCACTGAACTATACACTACTAGTACCACACCCCTCATGACTGGCAAATATCCCCTACCTGGCACTGAACTATACACTACTAGTACCATATCCCTCATGACCGGTATTTAACCCTAAAACCCTACCTGGCACTGATCCATACACGACTAGTACCACATCTCTCATAGCTGGCATACCTTTTCCGCAGCGGCCGGCACATTGCGCTTGTCCATAATCATAGAGTACGGGTACTGTTGTGGCACGGGCACCCCATTCTGTTGCATGTACAGACGCACTGTTGACTGCGACGGTTCTAAGCCCCTCCTTTGGCCATCGACACGTGGAGGTGCTACATTTGGGGGGTATGGCATATACCTGGGCACTCCCTGCGGGGGTCTCTGTGGATGCTCGGAGGGATGGATGTATGTCTGGTACGCTTAGAGTGTGCAGTGAGCGATGGTTGGGCATGCCTTGATGAATATATACATATATACCTATCTAATGGCGTGTGATAACACTTTTTTATTGTTTCGTCACAATAAACCTTGCACAACCGCAGGGTGTGTCATTGTTGTGTAGAACGAACACGATTCATATTGCAAGCAGCCTCACTGCAGCAGGCAGTGGAACAAAAAAGACAACACGGACCTAAAACCGTGAATTCGTAACAGAGAAGACAGCACGGGCTGGCATACTACACCCATGTCTATATAAACAGCAGTCACTTTTACTAATTAGATCCAGCTATACTAAAAGCAATCCCTACTGCATGAGTCACTACACCAAACCTCAAATGGTGATAGGTTGACTCCTAGAGACAGGACGCAGAGGGGTTGTTTATTGATTTATATCGGCACTCCCTAATCTACTGTGTGTAAGCTATGGAGCAGAAGCGTCAAGACAGACATGATACCTTACAACACCCATAACTAATCCACAGATACACACACTCAAATGCACACTCCCATACTCAAATATCCACACGCACACATAACCCAGCCCCGCCCTGCCCCCCTAATCCAGACTCACCGACTGTATGGCGACAGGAGTATCGGACCGTTTCTTGCGGCCCCGTTTCTTCGGGCCTTCGATTGCCGCCAGTTTCTGTGGCAGAGGTGGTCTGTGCATGGCATACACAGGCGCGCGCACCATCTGCTGAGACATCATAGCAGGCGCTACACCATACTGTTGTTGGGCTTGCGGCGCCTGTGTGATTGCTTTGGGCTTGGTGGCCTGTGTTGTGGCGGGGGGGTCCTTCTTCTTGGTGGGAGTCTTGGGTTCTTTTTTGGCTGTGTGGGTGAGGGATATGCATTGGTGAATGGCTATAGACGCATGCTCTATGGGCACTGAGGGTTGAAGGTGCGCAATGTTTTCACACGGATAACGTAGCAAGGTCATTCAAGAAACACTCAGCACATGCACAATACTGAGATGGCACACATTGTATGACATACCACAGCATGCTTAATATACATACAAGCGCATGCTCTCCCAACTGATGCGCACGGTACTACATTGGAATGGCCAAAAGCCCTGTCTACTTACACCCGGGACATGACTAATACGAGAGGACGTATTCACTCACCCTTGGGCGCTGTTGGAAGGTTCTTCAGGAGGACTTTAACGTGTCCTTTCTTGACATTGAGTGTGTTTGCTAATTCATCCTCTGTGATATCGACAATCTGAGATATATTAAAATAGAAGCCATCAGAGTTCAACAACGCTTTCGTGGAGTCGGAAGTGAGAAAGCGCACAATAATATCGCATTTAGATATCAGGATATTAGAGAATACATACCGCATCGAACTGGTCGTAGCCCTCGTCCAAGAACGCGTCATAGTACTGTTTGAGATTAAGTCCTTCCAGCCAAGCAAGTACGCTAAAGTTTGATCCTTTGCCCTGCGCCGACGATTGGTCCTTCATCGTATATTCTTTGCGTAGATTCGTGGCAAAATTCAGCTCATGCAATAAGACTCTGCTGGTCCCTTTCTGGTCGATATATACTCACAGTAGCGAAACAGAGTGGTAATATATGAGCTTGTTCAGCGAGGTACTACACATGATACTTTAAGTGATGGTGTTTTTGAGATGTTTCAGTGGCGGCTTGTATTTAGTGGTAGCCTTGCAAGCTTCATAATCGATACCCCCAGTCTGCGACTATAAACTAAATGCCAACGGAGACGCTTAGGCAAAAGGACAGCCAGAGCCTCAGCCAGTCCATCAGAACCCAATCAGTAAGATTTACCGGCTGTACTTTTAGGTACCGAACATTTAATTTTATTATGTTTGAGCTATGCACCAATAAAATAAAGGAAAAGTTAATGTCAGTTATTATGATTGGATTAAATTAGAGACCAGTACCTATCGTCTCATTTGCGACGGCATGGCGTTAAAAGAAAATATATATTCGTGTGCATTTGTTTGATTGGGAGATTTTTGACCCGAAACTCTTTTTGCCCAAACCTGTTCTTATACATTTTCTATTGGTCCCTGTGGTGTAGAGATTTGTATATAATCTTCTTTTAGGTCGTAAAATGAACTTATTCTGACGTATAATTGGTTGATGAACAAAAACTGAAAAAGTACATGTCGCATTTGTATTTTGCAGTGTACACATAGTCACGAAAAGTACGTTTTTCGGTCAGGCCAATTAAAAAGGCTTCCAATTAAAGGCCTTATAGAATCTTCAATTTCCAAGTCGGACCTTAATTTCGATCTATATTCTGAACAAAGATCAAAATGGACTGGTCTTCAGCTGGACACATTGTTTTCAATACAGTTGGAATATCTGGAAGAACGTCGAGGTGCTTCTAAAATGGACATTGTCCAGTCTATTTGTTTCACTAGCAATAGGCGAAAAACAGCATCCGTGATAACTTATTTTTAGTACTATTTGCCACATATGATTGGTTTAATCATATCGGCCGCTTTTATGTACAGGTTTCTAGGCTTGCGATCCAATGGGCGTAGGAGTAAGAAAACAAATGAACCGATGGCATAGCCTCCTAATTCCTGAATGTCATTATTTTGGATGGATGCGTACAAAACCATAGACCCAAGAACCCAATGACCCTACAATTACCTAACCCAAAAACCCTGCGAACAGCCGTATATCGTGATATATCAATATTAGGATAAAGAAGAATACACAGATTTTATATGTATTATAATAATAGAGTAATATGTGAAACTTTAAAAAAAATAGTTGAATTGGTCGCTCTTCCCTCTCTCTAGCTAGAGCCAAATACACAAGCATACATATACACAAGTATCCACCAAATAAATATATCTGATAACTCTGTTGACATAAACGACAGTCTTAAAGCAATTAGTCTGAGTGTACACTATGTCTTATTGCGGCACGAGCACACTTCGACCCTTTACCGGGCTGGGTGTGTCTGCATGCTTTCTGGAGACACTTGCCCCGTTCCTGGGTGCTACGTTCCTGTTACTTGCATCTCTGCGATTATTCCGCCCAATGCGTGCTGCGAGTCCGATCATCTCGCGTAGAGTATGTGTTAATGGGATATCTTCTCTATTGTTTTATTGCAGTTTTAATGGTTGTGGTGTAGTAGTTCCTTGTTGTATTTGGTGGTTGGTTGGCTTGGACGAAACACTGATCCAATTGCAGAACCTCACGTCCTATGACAATACGCTATCAGCGATTGCTGAGTAATACTGACTGCCCGTTGTGGGTACGTACTGAGTTGTCAAATATCTGCGATGTGTTCACAAAAATAATATCCCTATGATATATTCACGTATCGTTGTCCGCCATGTGTTCAGTATTCTGAAGATATTGCTGGGCGAGACTCGCTTTCGTTTAGTTCAATGCCCTTTAATATAGCCCCTCTTATGGCGCGTTGTCTGAGGTGAATGCCTTGTTTTTTTTTGCTTTTGACGATTTTAAGTAGATTCTGCTGCGCACGTACACACTTCTAAACACTATTATTGAGCTATTCTTTGCGATAGTTTAAGCTGTGATAGACAATGGGAAAATACACTCCTGCTTTATATCCTTTTTAGGTCAGTAGCGCGACTCGGGCAGCTAGGTTTACAACTCGATATGTGTATGAGTTATGACATGCTATCAGCACCTTCATCTATAATCTAGTGAACTTAAAAATCATCCAGTTTCTGATCTTATTATTTGAACCATTTCGCTTAGATGTAAAATCTGACTAAAATGCACAGCCATAGCGGCAACTATAGTCTCAGGGGTTGGCGGGCTGTCTGCACCATGATATTCTATCACATATAAATCACTTTGGTCGTTACAATTGCATTCAACACCATCTCAACGACATAATATATATATATTTATATATTTATATATTTATATATTTATATACTTATATATATATATATATATATATGCGTGTGTATGTAAGTAAGTGAGTATGTATGTATGTATGTATGTATGTATGTATGTATGTATGTATGTATATATGTATATATATATATATCGCAGGAACGCTTTCAAATCAGCTATATTGTTCATCCAGTTCAATGTGGTGTCATATAATTGTTAAGCTTCCTCTAACCTGCTGTACTCCATGTAAAACTATTTCTCTCGAAACGCTAATGACAATCGATAGCGACAGCAAGATATATATATATATATACATACATACATAGATATATATATGTATATATCTACATGTATATATGGGGCCCAGGCACCCAAGCACAAGCTGAAACAAATAAAGAAAAAAGTTGTCGTTGATAGAAGGGATGGTCCATAAGCAATCCACTCACGATGACCAAGGGTTTTGATTTAGCTAAATGATGTGATGTCCCAGGATATAGCCAACTTGTCTATCTACATTTATAGATATACATAAATACATATATGCATATATATATATATATATATATATACATATATATATATATATATATATATATATATATATATATATATATACTATTATTTACTTATTATTTATTATTATTATTTATTATTATATTATTTGTTAGTAGTATAGTGTCGTAGTCGTACGTCGTTCGTCGACCAACTAACTAACTTTACTTACCGTTACGTACGTAC